CTTTAGTATGGCAATACGCTGACGATAAACTGCTTTAGCAATGCAATACGCTGACGATAAACTGCTTTAGCACTGCAATACGCTGACGATAAACTGCTTTAGTACGGCAATATGCTGACGATAAACTGCTTTATCCCAGAGATCAGAGAGAGAAATCCTTCGCTAACTGAATTCCTTCACATCTGGATGTGATCAAAGCTCCTTAAGTAAAGACAGAACAGAACTTTGGGCTGTTGGACCAGAGATTCTGAACCTCTAAGAAGGCCAGAAACCTGAAGATTTTATAAAAGCTGCATAGCGTGACCTACAGAACATGCTTTGTTCTGAGCAGCCAGGATTAAGATCAAAGAGTGGGTCAGTGGGGGGGTGGGTAGGGTTTAGTGCGTCTAGTGTACAACGGCAGGTGGAAAATGATCAGCAGTGGGTGTGAGGGGGTCTGGGTAGTGGGTGGGGTGGGTGTGGCTCACTGACCACAGACTGGTACTGAACCTCGTAACGCTTCTGGTCCTCTGCCGCCTTCTTAATCCAGGGAATTTTCTCCTTCTTCTCCATAGACCTCCAGGCCGCGTCCATAGCTGCTTGCGCCTTCCTGCGGTCGCTCTGTAAGGCCGTGCACATGACCCCAAACCTTTTAATGCAGGAAGCCACAAAGCCCCCACCCCCTTGTCAAGTGACATAAGGCCACAGGGACTCACTCTATACTTGGCCATGTAGTCTCCTATCACACTATGCTGCCACATCTCCTCAGCGGTTTTTGGCGTCTCTGGAAGCTTCACTGTCTTCTTTCCGTCTCGTCTGTCTTTGGGTGATCCGGCAGGTATCCAGGTCTCCAGCTCGGGCTCTCGACTGCGCTCCTAAAACAACGCAAACATCTGGAAGTCTGAGTAGGTTCTACGGTAAAGACACCAGCTCAGGAGAGTAATGGTAGAACACATTGTACCTTCAGTGATGGAGACTTTGCTCTGTGTTGAGACACATTCAACTTGGACCCGCCCATTTTCTCCTCTGATAGGACTCGCTCGCGCTCCTCCTCAGGAAGGCTCTGATACACAAGTTAGAACTCTGAACACCAAACTGAAGTCTACCAGCTGCTCACTACAGGCTGGGAGTAATGGGAGGACTGGGAGTAACAGACAGTAACTGGGGGGACTGAAACTGGTAGATAGCAACTGATGGACGGTAATGGGGGACGGTGATGGGGGGACATTAACTAGGGGGAATGTAATGTGGGGACAGTAACTGGGGGGGACAGTAACTAATGGACAGTATCTGGGGGGACAGTAACGAGAGGGACAGTAACTGATGGAAAGTAACTGGGGGGACATTAACTGATGGACAGTAACTGGGGGGACAGTTTCTGATGGACAGTAATGGGGGGGGGGCAGTAACTAATGGACAGTAACAAGGGGGACAGTAACTGATGGACAGTAACTGGGGGGACAGTTTCTGATGGACAGTAATGGGGGGGCAGTAACTAATGGACAGTAACAAGGGAGACAGTAACTGATGGACAGTAACAAGGGGGACAGTAACGGAGGGGACAGTAACTGATGGACAGTAACTAATGGACAGTAACGGGGGGACAGTAACAAGGGGGACAGTAATGGGGGGGCAGTAACTAATGGACAATAATGGGGGGCAGTAACTGATGGACAGTAACTGGGTGGACAGTTTCTGATGGACAGTAACGGAGGGGACAGTAACTGATGGACAGTAACTAATGGACAGTAACGGAGGGGACAGTAACTAATGGACAGTAACTGGGGGGACAGTAACTGGGAGGACAGTAACTGATGGGACAGTAACTGATGGACAGTAACTGGGGGGACAGTAACTGATGGACAGTAACTGGGGGGACAGTTTCTGATGGACAGTAACAA